AAAGTGAACTGCCTCAGGATGCTTGGGTGGCTCAGCAGTTGAATATCTGCCTTCGGCTCAGGGCATGATCCTGGGGTCCTGAGGTTGAGTCCTGCATCAGGCTCCCCACAGGGAGCCAGCTTCTCCCTCTGCCTGTGTCTCTGCCTCTCTATGTGTGTCTCTCATGAAAAATTAAATAAAATCTTAAAAAAATAAAGTAAAATGCTTCCATTAAATCCTGTGTGTAATATTCAATAAACTAATGTTTATTGAGCATCAACAGGCTAGAGCCCAGTGCTTGAAACATGAGAAATAAATAAAGCATAGCCCACAGGATAAATTCAAATCAGCGAGGGAGAACAATCCAAGAAGTAACACCCTGTACATAGGTACACAGATAGTGGAGGTGAGGTGTCCATTTATTTCCATACTGGATCCAATCAGAAGATAGGATTTGGCAGACAGAATGTCATCATAATGAATATTTCCCTGGAACGTGCATTCCATTTGGTAAGAGTTACCCATTGTAAGTTGGCAAGACTAGAAACTAGTTTAAAAATAGCATGGAACTCAAAGAAGATTCTGCTTTATAACCAAGAAGTAATTTAGAGAGAAGAATGTTTTGGAGCAAATGTTTGTCAATGGGTTGTTAACACTGGGTCTTTGAGATAATATAGACACAGGGAGCTTCCTCTGAAGCCTTTTCAGGGCTTGCTTAGCCCAGGGTCAGGTATTGTAAATGTCTACCAGGAATGTCTTTACATGTTCTGAGAAATGAAATTAAAACAGAACAATCCAGGGTACTTGCATGGTTCAGTGATTGAACATCTGCCTTTGACTCAGGTCGTGATCCCTTGGGTCCTGGGACCCTGGGAATCTGGGATCCTGGGATCCTGGGATCCTGGGATTGAGTCCCACATCAGGCTCCCTACAGGGAGCCTGCTTCTCTCTCTGCCTATGTCTCTGCCTCTCTCTGTATGTCTCTCATGAATAAATAAATAAAATCTTCAAAAAATAAAATAAAATAAAAAGAAGAGGAAACAGAACAACCCAATCACTGCTGCAGGAATATTGCTTTAAGTCCTTAGGAAAAAAAGGAGCCTAAAATTTTTGTTGTATTTTATGTTCCATTTTATCTCTACACTACTAGTAAAACTGACACATCATTACTACAAAGCTGTGTTTTCTCTTGATTGTCTCAAGGTAATTGTGTTATTTAAATGACTAATTTATGAATTAGATGGTGACTTCTGAGAAAATACAATGCAGATAAACTGACTTCAATGTTGATTTTCTACCACAATTTAAAGACACTGATGGGCCACCACTGCTGTTGGTTTTTTTGCAGAACTGTACAAATATCGAGTGCTTACAGATCTCCTGTGCAGTGGGGCAGCTAGAAGGAGGAGAAAGCGCTGTCCTAAAAGTCAGATCACGGTTATGGGCCAGGACCTTTCTCCAGGTAACAACATTGCACAGGCTTGCAGGGAGTCTCTTCTCAAAATCTCAGTTGGAAGTTTGTCTCAGTTGGAAGTTTGTCTCAAAAGGACTTTTGAATGTCTTAATCTTTAAATTTAAAAAGCTTTGAATTTTTTCACTTAAAAAATTTAGATTTAATTTTATTTCATTTTCAACTTAAAATTTTTATTAATTTTTAAAAATATTTTAAATTTTTAAAAATCTTTTAAAAGAAGTGTCTATGGAGCCATTGAACCAAGATCAGCTGGTCATCTTTCCCATCAGGTGAAAACATTTTTTTTCCAGGTTTATTGAGATATTGTGGACATATAACATATGTAAGTTTAAGGTGTACAACCTGATGATTTGATACATGTATATGTTTTGGAATGGTTACTGCACTTAAGTCACTTCATACCTCCATCTCTTCATGTAATTACGTGTGTGTGTGTGGACGGTAGGTGATAATTTTTAAGGTCAACTCTCTCAACAGCTCTCAAGAATACAATACAGTATTGTTAATTATACATTAGATACCCAGAACCTATTCATCTTGTAGCTGGAAGTTTGTATCCTTTGCCAACATCTCCCCACGTCCCCCACCCTTGGCAACCACCAACCTGATCTACTCTATTTCTGAGTTCTTCTTCTTTAGATTCCACATGTAAGTGATATCATACAGTATTTGTCTTTCTCTGACTTATTTCACGTAACATAATGCCCTCCTAGTCCATCTGTGTTGTCACAAAAGGCAGGATTTCCTTCTTTTTTGTGGCTGGGTAATACTCTTTCATCTTTTAGGTGAAGCCAATTTAAATATCTTGAGTCCCTAAGACGTTTAGACAGTAACTTCGATTCAAATAAATCTATTTAGCTCACTACATCATACCCAGTGCCCAGCATGTAGTAGTTTTTCAGTAAATATTAGTTAGTGGAATGATAGTGAGTACAAGAGCACAGTACAAGCCATATGCCCAAAACGATCAAAATAGAAATCAATTAGGAGGGGAAAAGGGAGATGGCCCTAAAAAGCTTGCTTGTTTGGTATTCCCATGGACTGGCTCCAGCCTGGACACATCTCAGTGATGTTACACATATGTGTGATTAGTAGATTCTTTGCTGCTTTGGCTTATCTAGATATGGTGGCATCCCACACTGCCACAGATAATTCCATTGATTGTGTGCATTTTAAAGTTTTAAAATCTCTTTTATACTAAGGAAATTAATTTTTCCATTTGGAAACAGTGATTTATTTAAATATACTATGTTGTGACCTTGTTGTTTAGAAAGGATTTAGAGAGGAGAAAAATAAGCTAAATTAAAACCCCTACCAAATCTATGCAATCTTGCTCATATTTTAACTATTAAAAAATTCATTTGGCTCATTGTGCCATAGAAAATCAAATGGTAACATCCTTTGGACTCTAACTAATAAATACAGAATTTCATAGTTCCTTTCATGTTTTCTGGAATACAAAATTCTTCTTTAATCTTTAATTTTGTTTCTAAAATAAATAGAAGGAAAGTTAAAGGTATTTTTGAAATGGTTGTGAAGTTTTTCTTTTAACATGAGGCAGGGTTTCTTAATCTCAGTATATTTCAGATCAGATAATTCTTTATTGTGGGAGGTCTATCATTGTAGGATTATAGAATGCTTTATAGGAAGTACATTATAGGATGCCTAGCAGCATCCCTGGCTTCTACCCACTCGATGCCAGTAGCAACCCATACCCCAACTGCGGCCACAAAACTCTCCAGACATTGCCAATGTCCCCTGGGGGCAAAATCACCCCCAGCTTTTTTTTTTAAAGATTTTATTTATTTATTTATGAGAGACAGAGAGAGGCAGAAACATAGGCAGAGGGAGAAGCAGGCTCCCTACAGGGAGCCTGACACAGGACTCTATCCTAAGACCCCGGGATCATGACCTGAGTCAAAGGCAGATGCTCAACCACTAAGCCAGGAAGTTTTGAATGCCTGAACCAGGGAGAAATGCAGTACACAATTTATTTGATTTTTTTTTTTTAGTTAAACCATTATTTATTTATTCACTAAACAAATACCCATGGAGTGCCAACCATGCACCAGATGCTGCTTCAGGTACTACTTACTTTCCACCAATTTGCTCATGGTCACTCTGCTTTTGAGTCATTACTTCTTATCTCAGAGTTGAGTTAAGGAGAGGAGTCTTACTGAATTCCCAAGTCCATACAGTCTTCAATGATAACCATACATTCCTTCGATTACTTTGGGCATCATGTCCTGCTGAAATAAAGAAAAATAACTTTTTTATGAAGCAGGACTAAAATCATTAGGACAAAACAGTCAAGGGAAACATGATTTTTTTTTTTAAGATTATTGACTTATTTGAGAGAAAGAGAGAGAGAGAGAGAGCCGGGGGAGGGTCAGAGGAAGAGAGAGAATCTCAAGCAGACTCCTTGCTGAGCGCAGAATCCAACGAGGGGCTCCATGATCCCAAGACTCTGAGATCATGACCAAGACCAAAACCAAAACCAAAGAGAGTGGCCCAAATCACCAGCATTTACCAACAGCCGTAGCCCAAATTTCTGGACACCCAGTTTCTGCTTATTCCTAGCTTGGAATCTGAGTGCCAGAAAGGAGTGCCTTATTGCAGTCTCTCTCTCTCTCTCACTCTCTCCCTGCCTCTCCTGCTCACTCTTTTCCTCTCTCAAGAATATATTATATACTGGAGGTCTTTAACGGTTTTGTCATGCAATCCTAAAGGACGGAAACCTGTTCTTTCTTCCTAATCCAAACTAGAAAGTTTACAATTCTTCCTAATCCAAACTAGAAAGTTTACAATTCCTGCATGACATGATTTGCTGCATTATGTTTGTTCCTGTCCACTTGGTGAATAGGCAAATGGCTCAGAAAAAGATTTTATTTAGATTAGCCCTAAATGATACCCTGTCCTGTTGATTGCTGTTTGAAACAATCCTTCACAGTTTCTGGTAAGATTTTACCAGTAATTGCTTCAGTTTTGTCAACTCACCAGGCTTTCTTTCTGGCAAATGTTGAGTACTTCAATATGGGCTATGTGGTCAAAAAGAATTCTTGAGAAGGAATTAGGCAATGGGAAGGTAGGAGTAAAAGGGCTTGTGACCTTACCAGCCGCACTATGTATGCATTTAACCAATTCAAAAGCCTCACTCTCCATTTGTTACCAACTAGAGGACTTTTATTCATACCAAAACCATAAGCAAATCATTGTGCAAAAGTGCATAACATAGGCAGCTAGTGAGCTGCAAACCGCAGTTGAAATGACACAGCAATGACAGGAGAACAGAGCATTTTCTGAGGATTAATAGCTAGCTGGTCAGGTTGAAGGTCTAAGATATTGTCAATAGATATTAACTCCAGCTGTTTTTTCAGTCTTAAATTGCCTGCAATATGGCAATGATTGCTATTACATGAGTAGATTGCTATATGGAAGAGGAGATTTCTTTTAAACATAAGAATAATGTAATTGTTATCTGAAGACCATGGCTGAAAGCATTCAACTTTGAACGTGGAATCAATAATATGACTCTGCTCATAATTGTTCATGAATTACTTACCTGTGCCATGCCATTGACCTGCAGTCATAAGACTAGCGTATCTTTGGTGCTGCCCCAGGTGATCACAGCTGAATTGCTTACATTCTCTGTTCCTTGGAGCTCCAGAGCATCTTAGAAAAATGAAAAAAAAAAAAAAAAAAAAAGCATTTTCCTACTGAATAGGATGGAAGAAACCTTGGTTTTGAAGAATAATTTAAAATAAGGTGTAGGGGGGCACCTGTGTGGTTCAATCGGTTACACATCTGCCTTCAGCTCAGGTCATGATCTCAGGCTCCTGGGATCGAGTCCTGTATCAGGCTCCCTGCTTCTCCCTTTCCCTCTGCTTCCTCTTGCATGCTCATGCTCTGTCTCTCTCTCTCAAATAAATAAATTCTTTAAAAATAATAATAATCAATCAATAAATTACATTAAATAAGGAGTAGATCTATGAGTTGTATTTTTTACAGGCTATTTGCCTACCACCTTAATTTGTTCAGGCCCCAGACTGTGTCAGTTTGCAATACAGAATCAAATAGTGGAGGGGCAGGTCAACAGCCCATTTTCATGAACCACAGCCCTCATTCTATGTCCCTGTCTCTCTTACACCTTCTTGAACTTTCTAATCTAGTTGATAACAGAGAGGGTCCAATTCAACCATTGAAAGAACCAAACCTTTTGCAAGGTGTTATCATATTGGTATTACATGAGGTGAGAAAGTTCATTCACTGTCCATTTACATGCTCAGTCAGCCATGGTGATGGTGTTCAAGTGCTGTGTAAGATATAAACATTATATCCCGTGGTTTATACCCTCCATTCTTTTTACACCCTCCATTTTTATATAATCTTGGTGAGACAAGTAATAGAGACAAAGAAAGAGTTAAACAACGTCAAAATTGCAAAAAATGTAGGACAAATATAGTTTCATCCTGGTCTTTCTGAATCAGAATCCCAGGACCTGATCCCAATTGTTTCTGAAGCTCAGCAAAGTCCAGGGTTTGTGAACCACTGGAAAAGGATACTAAGGATTGGTGACGAAGTAGAACACGAGAAAATATCAAACTGTGGCCCAGAGCAGGGGTAAAGGACAGAAGTGAATGGAAATCCCCCCAGAGAAACATGTTTCTCCAGGTTCTACATTCTAGAGTTCAAATCCCACCTTCTATTCATTAAGAAACTTCCATATTCATAAATGCAGAATCAAGAAACCCAAAACTTCCCATCAAGAGTTGAAACAGAGATGGAGATCTCTGTTGATTTGTTCCTCAAAGATACGACTTCAGGAGGAAAACAATTATTTTCTATCCATTTTTTTTTTATTGAACTTGGAGACTAAAGAAAATTTGTTCACTGATGTTTGGGAAGCACGGACATATGAGCATATAATTCTTATGCACAGAATCTCATGACCAGAATTTGGTCATGTTCCTTCTGTGTCTACCAGCCAGGGTGGTAAAGAGAGTAGATTTAAATCACCAAGTACCTGCAAGATTTTATGAGCAAAGTTTTCCATGTTTAAAAAACACTTCTCAAATAAACACATAAAAATCCAGCTTTCAGTTAAAATGAAAAGCCAGAAGATAAGAAAACATCAGAAGAATAACAACCAAAAGTAATTTTTCCAAATGAATAAAGTTACTTATCCTGGAATGTTGGGGTAGAAAGAAAGAAAAAATCAGTGTCCTTAAGTATTTAAAAGTTTTGCATAGTCTGGCCTGTCCTTCTCATCTAGAGGAGATGAGATTTATTGAAGGGAGAAAAAAATTCAGTCACAGGAGGGAAAAAAAAGAACTTTTTAAAAAAATAGAAACAGGGATCCCTGGGTGGCGCAGCGGTTTGGCGCCTGCCTTTGGCCCAGGGCGCGATCCTGGAAACCCGGGATCGAATCCCACGTCGGGCTCCCGGTGCATGGAGCCTGCTTCTCCCTCTGCCTATGTCTCTGCCTCTCTCTCTCTCTCTGTGTGTGTGTGTGTGACTATCATAAATAAATAAAAATAAAAATAAAAAAAATAAAAAAATAGAAACAAAATTTTCATAATCCAACCTGATGATGGGACGACTGAGTGGCTCAGCGGTTGAGCATCTGCCTTTGGCTCAGGGCGTGATCCTGGAGTCCCAGGATCAAGTCCCACATCAGGCTCCCTACAGGGAGCCTGCTTCTCCCTCTGCCTCTGTCTCTGCCTGTCTCTCTGTGTCTTTCATGAATAAATAAATTAAATATTAAAAAAAAATCCAACCTGATGGATTGGCCTCAAGAAACCCAACATTGGATTATAAATAGTGAAGTTCTGGTGAATGTTTAATAAACTGCTTATGTGTGTGTGTGTTGAGGGTGGGGGAAGCACCATTGCAGCATTTGCTGATTCCCATGGTGTAAATATTCCTACTATGGCTGATTTCAAGCTGCCAACACAATATCACCAAATCTGGAGTTGGGAAGAGAGGCATTAGCACACCATCATATAGTATTTCCCCTTCCAGATACAATACACTTAAATAATATCAAGAGCACAGCTACAGTTACTGGGGCACCTGGCGGCTCAGTGGTTGAGCATCTGCCTTCAGTTCAGGTCATGATTCCGGGGTCCTGGGATCAAGTCCTGCATTGAGCTTCCCACAGGGAACCTGCTTCTCCCTCTGCCTATGTCTCTGCCTCCTTCTGTGTCTCTCATGAATAAATAAAATCTTTATTTTTCTTAGAAAAGAGCATAGATACTAGTGAAACACAATAAAATAAATGCTGAGTTTTTGAGTGTGTCTTTTTAAAAATATTTTTTTCTGAAATTTACATATATATGTTTTAGTAATGGCTTTGTTTAACAACTGATACTCAAAATTCCTGAAATTCTCACAGTCTGTCTCCTCTCAAGAGCCATTATGAACCAGCTCCAGCCCAAGACTGGATAGCTCTAATCATTGTCTCAAGTTAAATGGTGGGGAACCACAGAAATTTACTTTCTCAAAACAGCCTTCCTTGACTTAGTCTTAAATATTTTCCTTTGGCTTTAATCAACAGTTAATATGAGAACCAATTAAACAAAAAAATTTATTTGCTGAAAAGTTCTGTCAAAAGCTCTATGGCTCTAAGTCTGTGGTTCTTCACCAAGGGGATTTTGCCTCCTGGGGGACAGACAATAATTAGAGATATTTTTGGTTGTCACAACTATGGTAGAAGTGCTACTGGCATCTAGTGGGTAGAAGCTGGAGATACTACTACATATCCTACAATGTTCAGGACAGTTCCCCATCCAACTCCAAAATCCTAACAGTGCTGAGATTAAGAAAGTCTCCTCTGGGTCTTCTGTATAAGATGAAATGTGATAAATTTCTTTATAATTTAGTATCTGGGACATGTGGGTGGCTCAGTGGCTGAGTGTCTGCCTTTGGCTCAGGGCGTGATCCCTGGGATCAAGGCCTGCACCAGGCTCCCAGCAGGGAGCTTGCTTCTCCTTCTGCCTATGTTTCTGCCTCTATCTGGGTCTCTCATGAATAAATAAAATATTTCTTAAAAAATAACTTGTATCAGTCTCTCTCTTAAAATACTTCCCTCTATCAGATAATAAGAATTGTATAACCTACGATATCTCCCCTTTGTTCTTTACTAGCAGCACCTATGTTAATCCTTGTGCTTGCTCCCATTTAGGACTCTGATTTTCTGTATTTATTCTAACCTCATTGTACAAAGTCTTTTGTTAATAAGAGAAATTCTTTTTAGAACTAAGAAGAGGATGAATGAGTAGGTGGTCAGTTGGACGGACACTGGGATGGCTATCTAAAAGGATGTCTGAATGTATAATGGATGGATGTATGATGGATGGATAGATGGATGGATGGGGGAAAATTTTTAAAGAGAAAAAGAAGACAGAAGGAAAAATGAAATTTTCCTTTGGAAATGTGAAATACTGAAAACAGTTGGATGGCTGCCTGGATGGCTTTTAAAGGGTTTACACAGAATATATTTAAATAAATATTTTTCATTTCAGAGAAAAAATGATCCCTATAGTCTTGCATCCCTGGTGTCCTTCAAAGTTAAGAAGATGCCTTATAAAGATCAGCCAGCAAAACTCCCAGAGGGAAGCATAGCAGTGAGTATCTGAAAAATATAGCAGCATAACAATTTCATTGAAATAATAATTTTTTTAAAACCACTGTTCAGCTGGTGCTACATTTAAGCGCTTATTCCAGTGACCTGAGGAAAGTGTCCTTCTCTGGATCACTATTTTCTTGTCTCCCTCCAGAAATTTCTCAGTGTTCTTTGATCAAATTTTTAAACTTTCAATGTAAATTTCTACTCAAAAAAAAAAAAAAAAAAAAAAAAAACCAAAATTTACGGTGTAGGACTAATACCACTTTTTAACCAAGCCATTTTGTTTGAAAGAAGTCCAGATAGCAATGATCATTATAATGAAATCGTCCTGATTGTTTAATTCTAAGGACAGCATGGTGAGTGAGGTGGGGGCCGAAGTTGGGGGGAAGGACTCTCTTCATTAGGGACAGCTGGATGACCTTTGACATCTTTCCTTTCTCTGCAAAGAACGATCATTTTCACCCAGAAAAAAAAGTACAGCATGAGCTTCAGTTGAATAAAACATTATTTTTAAACTGAGGCTATTAAGCATTACTGGCAGGAGTTTATCTTTCACAGCACAACTGCCAGCATCCTCAGCAGCTTGGCGAGACCATGGAGAGCAGACAGGAACAGGGGGACAGAGGACCAGCAGGCATGGTCACCAAAACCCTCCCTTTACAGTGAAAGTGATCACAGCCAGATCTGAGGAAAAGATGTTTAGATTTAAATCTTCGTTTCTGGGTCATTCTATAGATACACCCCCCACCCCCAAACCCTGGTCCCCAGGTCTTGTTATTCATAGTCTGTTTGCAGACATCAGCATCTGCATCACCTAGGAAATCGTCAAAAATTCACAAATAAACCTCACTCCAGACCTGCTGAGTCTGAATCTGCATTTTATCCCAGGGCATCGTGGACACAGTACAGTTTGAGAAGCACTGCTTTGGAGGGTATATAAGTAGATATGATCATAATGTCTTATTGGCCTTACATCTTAAAATGTAATCACAGGGCAGCCTGGGTGGCTCAGCAGTTTAGCGCCGCCTTCAGCTCAGGGCACGAT